AAAAGCCAAAAAAAACTATATTTAGAAAGAATAAAACAATGAATTAAATAATAGAAATAAAACGGGTAATTTTGTATAATTAATATATTTATATAAAAAATAGATTTATAAGAAAAATTATTTAATAGATATATTCTTTTACAATGAAAAATCGATGCTTAAATCTTCATCTTATTAAGCTTTACGAAAAAGACAACAAAATAATACAATTAAAAATTAGAAAAAAAATTAGAAAATTTTTTGTTCGCTCTTGTTTTTTCCCACCTTTTCTCTCTTGTCTAAATATTATATCTACGGGCCGAATCTCTTTTAGTAAAAAATTAATTCTAATATTTCGATAAATAGTAAAACCGATCGATATAAGACACCCAATATACTATTAATATACGGAAAATATTCGATAATTAGTTTTTTCTCGAATAGATACGAAAAAAATAAAATATTAAATTTAAAAGATCTACAAATTACCTGCTCAAAATTTTATAAATCATTTTTTTATCACAAAAATATTTTAAAAAAATCATAGAAATATTACTTATCTTATTTTTTTAATTTTCTCTATATATCCTCCCAAATATTTCCCAAAATTTTAAAATTTAAACCAACGAATATACCCGAGATTGTAAATTTATACATCGTACCTCTAGAATATATATATAAATAATACCTAAGAAAAATTACAGAATCGTAAATTTCCGAGAAATAAATATCACGAATAAATATATTCAAAATCGTCCCAAATTCATAAATTTTTCAAAATAATGAAAGAAATACGAACCCAAAATTAATGAAAAAAATTGAATTATATAGTAAGAAATCCAAAAATGCTTATATAAGAATCACGTAAATTATGTATTTAATTCAATTCTCAAGGGGGTTAAGAATTTTTGCATTTGTGGTTCGGGTTAGGATGTGTTTTCCTCTCTTCCTCGGTACCCTAGTCCTCCTTCTCGGTATCCTAGTCCCAAGTCCGGTATTTCGGTTCTTTGTGAGGTACATGCCTGTCAGGTCTCGTCCAAAACGACAAGAAGCACTTCAGGCGGAGCAGGTCTTCTCCAAACCCAGGTGGAGGCCCTTCATCAGCCCCAACAACAGCCATAGCGCAGAAAACTACGAGCCCGCAGGCTCCGCTACCAGTGTGAGGCAACTAGAGACGAGGCACTTACACAGCTATGGCGACTGCGGTTTTGGAAGCAATGGGTCCTGACCTGGTTGGCAGTGCAGAAGCCGTTCGTAGTACAGGCCCTGGCGACGCCCGTCTGACCCATGAGCGAGTACTTGTTGCGGCGGGGCAACACAGCTGTGAACGACGTAGGGCGCTCGACCTCTCCCGTTATTGCGACATTTACAGCACAGCCGCCTTCCGGGGGAAGGTGTTCTTCGTTTCTGATCCGAATCCATGTCGGAACGCTTGGGCCGCTCTCCAACGAGCAAGGAGTCCCAGAGGCCCATCCGTTTTTTTTTTTACAGGAATCCGCTGTCGTGGTTTCCGGGAACTATTCAGTCAGAGGCCCCTCCTTATCGACAGGCCTACGGGGGATTTTGGTTGGAGGGTCCTTCGGCTTCTTCGTTGGGACAATCTGGGCTTCCTCCTGTGGCCCAACGAACCCAAAAACAGTTAGAGCATACCTTGCCTATTTACGCTATTGGCACCACACATAGACCCCCCCGCACACCAAAATCCAATTTTCCACTCATTTTTCCCAACTACTTTCTCCAACAGCATACCACTTCATCCCCCACACCCCCGAATCACCAAATATTTTCTCATCAATTTTCCACCATTTTGTCCAACCTCTCAGACCTCTTTGTCGCATTTTCAACCAGCCAGCCACTTGCCTCCAAGAATCCAAATTTTCAGCATCCCATTTTTCTACGAGCACACCAACAGCCCTCGCCCACCAAAATCGCACCGCTTTCCCCTCAAAGCCTCAACAGATTTTGCCACCTTCTTCACCAGCCCTTTAAGAACTGCACCCCAAAAGCATTGTTCCACGACATTTTCCATCACAACCAGCCCACTTGCCACCCATCAACAACCATTGATCCACAGCCTGATCTACCAGCCGAAAATAGGCAAAGTCCACCTCATAGAAAATCAATCCACCCACCCCACAACCCAAGATACAATATGTGAAAAAATCCTAGTCACACTTTAGAACCCAATACTCTGGATCTACGCAAGTGCCATAGCCCAAAATAGGCAAGGGGTTCCTTGTAGAATTTGGGGTTCAGGTTAGGGGTTAAGGGTTTGCAGCTACAGTTTGACGCCGAGTAAGGCGCAAAATTCGCGGCTTTTTGATACATTAGAAGTTTTTGATCACGTTCACCAGTTGTTGATGAATGATCTGTTTCTGGAAAACTACTTTATGCTGATTGGAAAGCACAAGGACAGGGTGATGATTGAGATACCTGTTGATGACAAACCAGAACAAACAAACTAGTTCTCTTTATACCGTGATACTATGATGTAATTATAATACATAAGCAGTTATATATTATAATTACATTAGAGTTATAACCCCTACCCCTAAACCCTGAACCAAATTCTACAAGGAACCCCTTGCCTATTTTGGGCTATGGCACTTGCATAGATCCAGAGTATTGGGTTCTAGAGTCTAGAGTGTGCATAGGATTTTTTCACATATTGTATCTTGGGCTGTGGACTAAGCGTACAGATCGAGGAGGCGTGTGGTGGGCCAAGCTCTTGATGGTGAATGTGTGAATCTGGTCGTCCCAAACAGGTGCTCATTTCCTTCTCTCCCCCCCACCTCTGTCCCACAGTGAAAGCGCCCATGGGCATCACAGAATGGGCCCTCTGCCAAACCATGCAATAACACATGCAAGCGGATCCGCGCGAACCACTTTTTCTAACGCTGGCTTTCTGGCGCAAGAGTCACCTGCTTATGTTGTTCCCGGATGGCCCATTGTTTAAAGCGGGCCTGAAACTGACGTGCTGGCCGCCCCAATCCGCGAAAGGCGCCCCCAGCCCATGAAAGGCACCCATAGCCGCAAAAGTTTGCAGGCCGGCCGCACGATGTGCTGCCCGATCTCATGGGCAAGGTTTAGCTAAAGCACGTTAGCCGGTTCAGAACACTTCAGAACAGGTCACCCCTCACCTCTGAAAGAGCCCGGAAAGAGGCGCGGGCAGCATCGTGCTACCTCTTGTGGCCGAACGCCGCACGGGCGCAAGCGAATTAAAGAGCCGCTCATTTTCGTCGGCGACCCTGCCACGCGAAGCATCTTACCCCCACTGCCCCGGTCAACAGCTTCTCACATGGCCTGGAACGTGGCTAGGACGCGGTCCAACTTTGTGACCTGTTGCAGCATTCTCACGATTTTGTTTGCCTCGCAAGACTCGGCAGCAGGCCTCGTCCTTCGCGAGGAGGAGCTCTTTCTTGGCTTCCTATCCGAGCAGAGCAGCTGCCCCGTGCAATCCGGATTGAAGGTTGAGGGTTGTGGGTTTGGGGTTTAGGGCGCAGTGTTGGGGGGGCGGGTGAAGATATTGGCCCAGCGGACGTAGGAGGTGCCATTAGCCATTCGACACCCCCTTTGATGCGCGACTCAAATGCTCACAAATGGCCTGAGTATAACTGGCCTAGGCACCTACCTCCCCACTGTTAGCCATTTTTCAGGATGGGCACAGCGCATGGGCTCTCGCCCAAAAATCCTAAACCCTGACATCAACCCTAACCCAAAACCCAAGCCCAAGCCCTACAGTCTTGAGCCCTCATGTCAGCACCCCAACACCACGAACCGTCAGCCCAACACCCTAGACCCCAAGTGATAGAGCGTGAGCTACCTAGCCCTGCGCCCTTACAGCTTGAAAGCTTCCGTATCAACACGCTCGCCGCGCGCTGAATCCCAAACCTTTGACCCAACCCACCAGGAAAAACATGCTGCACGAGCTATTGCCTGCAACGTCATTGTGCTGGCAGTTGCTTTCTCCATCTCCACCGGCGCTGCGGCCTCCAGACTCAGTTGGGGACGGGTGTGGGGCAGGGGCGCAGTGAACTAGAAAGCGACTCCAGAAAAAGACGGAAGAGAATGGAGATCCCAAAACCCTACGTCCCAACATGGCTGTTGATCAAACTTCCTTTATCCGGAAATCCTGCCTACAACGTAATGCAACACTTTGGGTGGGCTTTGCATTATCTTCGGGCTGAGATCATCCCGAGATCCTGCTCGGCTGTGCTCGGCCTCACCCCGCTTCGTAAAGATGCTTCTATCGGCTCTGTGTGGCGCAAGCTTTAGACGTCAAGCTTCAAGCATCACTCCTGCTTTGGTCTGGTGTCCGAAGCTCTGCTTGGGCTGTTGCATAGGTTATGTGTAAGTGCTCCAGCCTAACGAGGAGCCACAGCCTATCCCAGGCCAGACTCAGGGTCCGCCCGAGGTTTGCCCCCCGACTCTTGTCGCCTCCGCCGGGCTCAACCTCGGCACTGTGAGCCCTGCTGTTTCTGCGAGACATGGCTCGTTTCCGGTCGCTGCTTTGGTGGCGGCAGGGCACGTGGGAAGGCGATTCGCCCCGCTTCTTGGGCTGGAGGACAGAGGCCCAGGCAACCGCATGCCAAGGCTCTTCGATCACTGCATGCAACCCGCACGCGGCCATCTTTTTTCATACGTTCGTGGGTTCGTGCCACTGGCCTTCGATAACTGCATGCATCTGCTTATCCATGATTTGTGTGCATGCCGCTGCTCTTCGATCACTGGACGCATCTCGCACGCAGATGCTTGTATGAATACTTTCGTGTTATGTCACCGATCTTATCGCACTGTGTGCATCTCACTCGCTGATATCGCTATCCGTGCGGCCACCACGGATTCAACAAGACTCGCGGGCTTTGGCTGCATCTTTGAAGGCTACTGCAACTGTTGCTGTTGAGGCTTTCAGGCTTGAATGTCTGCGGCACGCCAACATAATCAGCTATGCTACGCTGGGACTACGCAGAACTTTCGCGGATCGCTGAATTCCTTTCGCAGCATCTTTTGCCAACGTGCTGTTATGTCGTTTTGTATAGATTGCTGAGCGGAACCTTTAGATCAACCCTCACATCCTCAGTCACTAACCCCAAGGCCAGTGCCTCCGGCGTGATCTCATCACAATTCTGCTCCTTCCGGATTCTTTGGGTCCACACTGCAGAGAGAGTAGGAGCAAAGCAGTCCTGGTGGCGAGGGCATTTCGACCTGGCTCTTTCAAGCTTCCTCAGCCACAGCAAGACGAACCAAAGAAACGCACGGAACAGGTTAGGCCCAGACTTGAGGCGAAGCCACATCTCTGCCGCCTTCTGCTTGTAAACGTTAGTCTCCTGGGTCGACCAAGCGAGACGCAGAAACAAACCCAGGACTCTGTCAAGCCTGCCTTCAGGATCGCCACCAAAGTTGTCATGTTTTCCTGAATGTGTGCGTTGGATTGTCTTGGAGAGCACGATCCCTACGTACCAGTAAGCCCGTGGCCTCCGCCCCCTGCAAGGCCTCTCACTGGACATTCAGGTCCAGTTTAGGGTCTCGGGTTATTGAATTTAGCCAGGAGTTCAGTACAGGGTTTCGGGTTGTAGCCTTGCGCGGCCACATGCACGAGCACAGATGTCTTGCCTCCAACTTCCAGCTGTGCTTCGATAAGAAGGGTGCAGACCCTACCATCTTGATGAATCATTTGCCTCTGATCACCGAGTCAACACACGGAACCCTGCAAAGCACAATGCAGCTCTGGCCATTGAGCCTCGAGTCATAGACACCCTCAGTCGCTCCCAGCCAGATTTTCCTAGCCTTGTCTTCCCAGCGGCAAGACGGGCCGCATGCAGTTTCTGAACTTGTAGTTAGAGTCATGCACCCCACGGTTGCCGAATCACCGTTGTCGTCCTGGGTACTGAGCAACTTGTTTCCCTTGAATGCGCAACCTCCCCTTGAAGCACCAGGAAAAAACACCGAGATCACTAAAAAAGATCTTACTCGTGGCCAATCGGCCTACTGCACCTGGCCTTCTACAGCCTGTTCTGTGCATCATCCTGATGTGCACTTCCACTGTTCACGAGTCGGCTTCCAACAATAATGCAACCTTCAGCTGCAAGATGAAGGGCTCTTGCGAATGGCTCAGCCAGCCTCGGGAGTATCCTGCTCCTCCACAATCTTGTCGATGTTGGGGATGTCCAGGATCTGGCACAAGGTATGGGATGCTTCTCAATGGCCGCGATGGCCACAGAAAGGCTTTGGGATTCACAATATTGCCAAGGCCCTGAAACAATAAACGTTGCCCAGGCATGCTACATGCCACCTCGAGCTGGAACACAAGATGTAAAACATTCAGATTTAAGCTGCGCCCCCCTAGTGCCGGAGCACAGCTGAGGGTTGAAGTAAAGACATCAACTGACATCAAGCACAATGCATCGACATAGCCATGGAATCCGTACAACATCGACAAACAAGAAAGATCTCACTCAAACAACAGTCAATCGAGGATACCTGGAATGCCGGGCGCAATGAGCAATCCCGCAACAATCAATACCAACAATTTGATGGCCCTTGCTCCTTCAAGCAAGTCCCGCAAATTACTGGCAAACAAACCTGATAATCCAAAGATCCGCCTAGTGGGAACTACCTCTCCCATTGCCAAGCCCTGTACTCCACGCCACTCCCGTATCTTTGGGCCCTTGCCCGGCCTGCTGCTTCAAGGCTTGCTTCATGTCATGCTGACCTGCCGCTGACTCATTCACACACGTACCAAGGTAATACCACATGTGAACAAACAAAGCTAGTCACATGCGAATTTGCATACACAAGACATAGCACCGACGAGTATGCAGCGTCTAAGAAGACCCTGAAATGCCTGCGACGGACTTACCGGCTAGTCAGTTCCCTGGCTTTCTTTGCAAATGAGTCGCGTAGTTTATTGGTTTTGAAAGTCTCTGGCATTGGAGTCTCAAGGCCTCGTGCCCCACATTAATTCGATGCGGACAATAACGGCTAAATCGGCTAAATGTTGCCAGTCTTCGAATGTGGGAGACAGCTCCTGGTGGCCCCTGCGCCGGAGTGCATCTTGGCGCGCTTGAACCGAGCGACCTAATGGCACAGACCCAGGACCCTGAGCTCACAGATCTGGAATCTCCAGACATCACCTCCGTACATCTCCACATGCCCGAGCGTGCATGCACGGAAGCGGGCACGGGATTGCGGATGGCACCTTCCCTCTTTCGTACGTGCCCTCACGACAGCCCGGCTCACTGAAGCTAGAAAGATGTTCGATCGGAGGCGGACAACGGGCTTCTGTAGAACGAGGTTAGCCATGGGTGTCACCCGTGTAGATCCTTCGGGTGTTAGGATCTCAAGACCTGGGCCAGAGAAGAGCGAAGCAGGTTTTGAGGAGATGCTAGGATAAACTACTGCTCGGATCTTCAAGCGAATCCTGCGCCCTAGAGCTTGAAACGTTCATCCACACGTCGCCATGGCCCCTGCTTAAATTGTTCACCTGTGCGTAGATGCTGATCTTAGACTCAGGGGCTCTCCACAAGTCGTTTACACAACCTTCTGCGGGCCCATGTGCAGCCGCCCTTCCCAGAAGAGGAGGCACTCATCAAGCATACCCTTAGGAGCACAAAAATGCCGTGGACCCATTCCCGTCAGCAATATCTGCAGGGACACTGATTTCTGCGGCTCGAAGCTGACGAACAAACAACTTCTTATCAGCTATACGTAAGCTGTGCCTGGATCTTCTGGACGGCAGACGGCCGATGCCTCAGAGACATGTCAGGATCCCAGCACGTGCAAAGATCACTTGACTGGCCTGTTGCGCAGGCGCACTAGCGCTACAGCACACTAGTGGCACCCTCTCTGACTCCTATGGCGCAAACAAAAGCCCCGCTTGCGGAACAGATTAGAGGCTCCTGAGCGCCAGGCTAGCGTAGCGGTGGTGGGCTTTTGGATGTGTCCCGTCACAGCCTCCATCGGCATCTGCTGCCCACCGAGGAGAGTCGGCACCTCAGCTGTCATGACCGCCTTCATCTGCAAATCTCTCTTGCGCTGCACGCGTGAGGCTCCAGCAGTGTTCCTCGCTTCTGCCATGACCTGGGTGTCAAAGACACGTATTGGCAAGCCGGCACATGGGCCTCTTTGATTTCCGGCTCGCTCTGACATCGTATTGTCACAAGTACAGAGCTCAAAGGTGCCTGCCTGGAACAAGTCCCTCTCACTCTTGGGTCATGGCTGTTCGCTGACTTCGCCAAAGCAACAGCCCTGTCGTTCAAGCCACATGCTTGACTATTGCCAGCTTCACAAGGTAGCGAATGAGCCATGATAAGAATTCTATGCCAAATGCCAAACTGAGGCTTGCACCGAGGAAGCGAAGGAGAGTAGGCTCAGAGCGAGTAGAAAATTGAGCCGACTCTTGCAGGCCAAGTAAATTTATCGAGAGATCTTCAACGACCCGAAAAGAAAGTAAGTCATCATCGGGCCGGAACGTCTGACTATAGGGCTTCAGGTAGTAGTTCTTGGAGAGCGCTTTGTCCAAGCTTGGCTAAAGCAGCTGGTCGCTGACGGTGACGACCGAGAGGGCACAAAGTCCTCCATCATCTCTTGAGATACGAAGATGCTTGTAAGGATTTTCCATGAGCCGCCTCGAGATCCCTAGCAGCCACTGTGTTATGCATGGAAGAGTAATCCGGCTTCCTGTACCCGGGCTGATGGAACCTCATGAGCAACATCTGCTCTCCATTTGGAGCTCTTTGCGGCCACTACGCCCTGATGGCCTTTGGCCAAGGATCAGCTAGCAAACTTTCCACAGTCCAAGGTCACCCTCGCGTACAGGCCTGGGAGCCATACACAACAGGGAATAAAAGCATACTCTGCGGAAAATCAAGCCGTGATAACCAACACATTGTTGTTGTTGTTGTTGTAGCCTTTCGGCCCGGGGCAGGGGAGGTAGCTTAGCTTTTCCTCTGTAGCTGCACTGAGCAATGCACTCGTAGCAGCCTCGGCAAGCCCGGTCCCAATTCCAGGGAGGCCAACTTGCAAAGCAAATATTGCGGCAAAGGGCTTAAAGGGGAGGGTTATCGAGGTGCGAACTCGATAAGAACCTGTTGCTTGCAGCAGGTGAAACAGCATCAGTCATCTATCAGCCTCATGCCCTCAAGGGGCCGGGGCAAGAAAGCGTATCACCAAGCTCTCCGCAAGGCAGAGGCAGAAGGCACAGTAAAGTACAAGGGACAGATTCTAACTGCGGCAGCTCTCGGAGGCGCCTTACGAGAGAGCCAAGACGTAGCTAACCAGAAAACACAGCTGCGCACTTCAGCTCCCAAGAGCGTCAAGATCCTTTCTTGGAATGCCGGAGCAGTAACCACAGCAATATGGGAGGAACTCCTTGCAGCCTTATCCAGTCCTCAATACTCCTCCGTGCAGGTAGTTCTCTTGCAAGAAACGCACTGGCGCACCACACAGGAATTCTCGAGTCAGGGGTGGCACGTGATTAATTCTGGAAATGCTGATGAGGTCAGTTCTGGAGTGGCCATCATGATCAGGTCAGATTTAGCGCGTGGCACCGATCTCAGATACAATGTGGTTGTCCCAGGTCGTGTTCTACATGTGAGGGTCAAGGGAAAGCACACAGATATGGACTTAATCTCTTGCTACCAGTACGCTTGGAGATCAGGGAGCACTCTGCATGAAAATCAGACGCACCGCGCAAGTCTCCTAAGCTCTCTACATCAGTACGCAAAGGGCTTGCCGAAGCGGAACAACCTTATTCTAGCGGGGGACTTCAGGGTTTAGGGTTTAGGGCTAGGGCGCGCACACCAAACATCATGCTGTCATGGCAACCTGGCATCTGCTCGAAGAGGACATGTGCAGAAACTGACTTTTCAGAATTGGCATCGGTGTATGTACAATGTCCCAATCAGTACGAGTGGAACTGTGCACGACAATGGACTTCGGCTAAAGCTTGCGGGGAGGACTTCGGGTGCGAGTTTATTGTGGACGGCAAAAACTCTCCTTCACGCGTGGGTGCGCTTTGAACCGAACCATTTAACTGAGCGAAGCGGAGAGTGTTTACACTACGGTACAGTATTACGGTTACGGTTAGCCGAAGCTCATGCCTGGCGAAATGCGATTTCTTTGCTTGACCACGGCAAAAAATGACTCGACACCATCTTCAGCTCGGAAACCCTGAGGAACACATAAGCTATTTGAGTACTGCTGATGGCTTCCTAATGCGGTCGCCGTCGCGAGCGCCGGATGCTGTTTGCCAACGGTCAGCCAAAGCACACGCCTGGCGAAGTGTAAGCGATCACAGTAGTCTTTGCCAGACCGTGGACTGCGGGATGTGAAACAGCATTAACGCAGCTTGGCCGCGTTGAGGGGCCCTGGTGCCTCCCACCAATCACATGGCACGACTACATGATTAGATTCGTTCAGCGCGAATGATGACTTGCTGATTTGGACCCCCCCCCCCCCACCCCCCTCAACTAGTCTCTGTTGCCAGTCAAAGCTGCTGGCTCACGCTGCCTGGATCAGCACGGGACTTGAGACAGGCTCAATGCGATGCATGCCTCCCATGGTCGTCAGAGGGCGCACAGGCACAAACATCCGGGGGGGGTGGGGGCTTGAGGTCGAACATGATCGAACGTGGCATCGTTTTGGCCTTGCCTCAGCCTCGACAGCAGCAGAAGGCGCTGAAGAGCCATCCCCAGTCTGCCTTCATGGAGGACTCGCTGTTGTGTTGTGGCCCAGCTTCTCCCTCCAGCCTGGGTAGATCTGGTCCACATCCTCGGGACTCCTCGCGGGTCTTGGCAAACTCCATGACACCATCGCTCAGGCTGATGTTGCCGTACTGGCCAGCCTTCCACGCACTCCATGCCTCCTCGGCCTGGCGACATGAGATGGCGCCAGCCTTGCGACCATCCTTGTGGTGGAAAGAGCCACTGCAGGCGCTGAGGATCACGTTGGAGTGGCCCAGGTTCTCGAAGAAGGCCGGCAAACGTAGCGCGTTCAAGCTGCCGGAGATGATGGGAGTGGTCTGCTTTGTGACCTCCCACTCCTGGAGGTCGCAAGGGCCTCTCCCTTCCCCCTCACCGGGCAAAGTGCTGGCAGCGGCAATGTTCTTGTCGGAGGCATCGCCCTGCATCTTGACGAAGCTCATGGTGCCGGTGTGGATGCCGGATGCGCTGATGACGCGGGAGACATTCGTGTGCACGAAGGCGGTGTAGCGGGCTGGGCACGGAGCCGTATCGCGCTCGGTGGTAGTGAGGGAACTCTTGGGGAAAGTTGCGGCGGGCGCACGTCACTGCAGTGCCTCTTGCCACATAGCCATCCACCAACCAGGATCGGCTCTCTGACAGAGCTCCAAACTGGGGGACAGGATGTACTGGCCTTGAGCAATCATCTCGTTGGGATCATCCGCGGTGATGTTGGCTGAGAACAGCTTGCCCAGTCTGGCCTCCTTGAGGCAGGCCCTCATGGCCCTGACGACCTGCGGCTTGCACTCGTGCATCTGGCAGAGGACCTGGCGGCCCTGCGGCTCATCGTTCTTGACGAACAATCCGCCTCCCTGCCAGGAGGCATAGGAGGTCTCGCCGGAAGGCTTGGGCTTATGCACGTGTCGGTGACAAAGCCACCTCTGCTGGCGCCCTTGCGAAGGAGGCGGAGGAAGGACGGAGGCAGGTAGACGCCACGGATCTTGCAGTGCTCGACGTCACCCATGCCTGGATGAAGGGACTACGGACTACAGATTACAAGCTCGTGACAACCCTGGCACGGCGCAAGCATCGCGAGCAACTGAGTCTGATGCCCTGCGTGTTGCCGACGGGCAAAGTCAGGAAGGAGAGGTCAGAAAGTAAGGTGGGGTAGGCGATGTTCATCTCCTCGCTGTCACGGCCTATGTAGTACACCAGGGCGTCCACAGACTTAGTGGTGCACATGGTGGAAGACTCCGCCGCGAAATGGGCGGCCGTGGCCAGGTAGTCGTGCTTGCCGCTCCTTTGTGTGAAACGGGACTGAGCCTGTCTGCCAGCCGAAAGCTCTAAACAAGCGCTGCCCTCATTGCCTTGCAACCGCGATAACTTTGTCTAAGTTGCTTGACGAGGGTAGCCTCATCAAGAGACAGGTCCACGCTGGCCCCCACGAAGGCCGCCGCGGATCCAGTCTTGGCCTAGTATCACTACCCTCTTCAGGGGGGACGCCACCCCCCTTCCCCTCCATGAGCTGATTTGATTAAGACGTTTAGGTTGACATGGGTTTTGACCCGCAGTGGGGGGATGCCCCGTGAAATTTCAGGGGCCGTGGCAGGGGGGCTGCCGGGGCGCGGGCGCAAAAGATGGCGTGGACGTCGACATTACTCACAACATGCAAGATCCTCATAGAACTGGTAGTCTCCCCTTGCCCCTTGCTACCCGTCCCCCCCCTGTTGGTGCCCCCTGAATAGGCCTCGAGCTGATTTCTAAGAGAAATCTGGCAAATCTTTAGCAAAAGATTTTACGATGCTACTTTTAGCAAAGGTCTGCCAAGTTACTGTTGGAAATTTGATACATAACTGCGCAGCTCATGGCCTGACACCATCCCATTCCATGCCAGCCAACTGCCAGTAGAATGGTTCTGAGAATTTGGCAGGCAACCAGCCACTTAAATCGTTCCTGCCCCGTGAACACCAACAACCTGAAGCATTTCAAGATGACTCCCCCCCAGGTCCGGCGGGCTTGCCCTACGCAGCCTGAAATGCTTTAGGACTTCCCCCCCCCTGCCTTTCAAGCACAAGAAGCACAAGGGGGCTGTGATGGCCTAGTCAATTCTGCCAACCAGAAACATGAAAATCATCATCACAACAGCCATAATCACCATAATCACAGTCATAACCAACATCATAATCACCATAATTATCAGAAAACTATGAATAATGACAGTATGCCGAAGAAGACTGAGTATGATTATGATGATGGTAATGATGATGACGGTGGTGACGGTGCTGATACGCATTGCAGTATTTGCAGTAGTAAGAAGAAGAATGAACAATGTGAAGAATAAGAAGTGGAAGAAGAAGCAGAAGAAGCAGAAGAAGGAGAAGAAGAAGAAGAGGAAGAAGAGGGGGAAGAGGAACCACACGATAATGCGAACAATAAGAAAATTGATGGTAACAATACAATACTAACAATAATCAGCGCAGTAATCACAATAGAAGTACGAGTGATGAGGAAGATGACAACAAGAAGAACACGAAGGACAGCCATACAAATAATGAGCATACTAACAATTACAAACACAAAAAGTATACTATTGTACTAAGCTAATAATAAGACTGGCAGCCGTAAAGAATCAGCAGAATTATACGAAGAAGAAGGCACCAATAGGAGGAATAAGGACAATATTATCTTCATAATCCGCACTAGTACTGGGAATAGTGGTACTAGTAGTAGTAATAAGAATAATGTTAAACAAATAAGGCTAATCACAACAGTGATTGTCACCGCGGCCGTAGTACAAACAAAAAGAACTGCATTAGTACTAGTACTCATATTCGTATGAGTGGTACTATTGGCTGGTACCAATAAAATGAACTGCTTAACGGGAATAATAACCTTAGTAGTAGAAATGAAGGTCGCATAACGCGCCGCGTGGACCAGGCGCCCAGCGTATTGAAAAACTGCGTTCTTGAGTGATGCGTGGAAATGCTTCAAAGTATGGCAATGACAGTGAAATCAGCTCCTGGCAGATTGTCAATCTCAGGGGCCGAAACTGTAGCAGGGCCAAGGATGCCGTTTTGGGGTGATAACCGTGACACATGTACCACAAGAGGCGGCCAACCGTCTCACAGGTTGTTTGTACATGAACAAAGCTTCCTGGAAAGTAGGCTTATGATCGCTCACATGAACGGAGTGCCGATTCGTGCCTATTCTATACGGGTTTGCTTTGAGATCGCATTTGCGTGCGTGAGCTGCGCGGGTAATTCCATCCACCCAGGCCGACGAACGAGAGACGGAGCTAGCCGAGCAAGCACGACTTGCACACTCCCCCTCTCCCCCCCTACCCCCCCACCTGTCGAAAAGCCTTTAAATAATTTAATTAAGTAATTGAATAAAATCAATCTTGACCGCCCCCCCCCCTCCCCCCACCTCCCCCCTTAAGATTGATCAACTCGCAGGATTCGCGGAAATCGAGCCTGTCTACCCTGAGCGCTAAAGCACATAGCACTCAAGCCGCTAAGGCGGCTAGCTTTCGTGACATGGTAGGATTACTCGCACGGACGCCGCCTTCTGCTCGGCTTCCGATGGGATGCCTTCGTGCTTGCCCCGGGCCTGAGCTGATTGGGCCAGCAGCACTCGGCAAGCTTGCATCACGCTGACTCGCAGTCAGTACGACCGGCTCCAAGAAACATCCCCCTTGTGGAGAAGAAACGCCCTCAACATCCGGAGTCATACCATGCCCAATCAGGCCTTGGACTGAAAGAGGAACGGAAGCACCCCTGAACGCGCAAGCAAAGTGAAATCTGTAAGCCGTCCTGCGTTCTTAAAGCCCATACGTCCTCTGACCCCCCCCTGAGTTTGTTCATGGCAGTTCTGGATTCTAGGGCTGGTTGCGAGACGATGTGAAGAAATCGAGATCCGGATCATCCACCCCAATATGCAGTTCTCAGTTTGGGATACCCAATCAACCCCGAGTACCGGCCCTGATCCTAAAAGCCTGAAACCTTCAACCCATCGGGGGGCGTGGCCTTTGCTGCTTTCTTTTGTGCCTGCGCCAATAGAGCTACGCGAGTTTCAACCCGCGCAGGGGATGACAGCGCGTCGGTCCCTCCAGCAATGCAGTTCCAGGCCTTTTTTTCGCACTTCGCCGCCTTTGTGCTCAGCACCCTTAGCAAAGCGGAGATCCAGCAGGGAGGGCAGGCACCACTTGTCGCCCTTCCTGAGCACCTGGCTTTGGCTTCGCGTTCCTAGCGGACACGACGCCAGTTGTTCCAGGCTGTTGCAGCACATTGGCTCAGGCCTCTGCAGAAAATGTCGCCGCCGCCCACCGTCGTACTCAGTGCGCACGCCGACGAGGTGACCCAAGCCGGCGGCGAAGAAGGCCTTCCACCATGGAAGCCGCAGCGAAGTGCTTTGCGATACCGCAGGGCAAACGACCTCGAACGTGTCCGCCTCAGAACCTTGGATTCGTGCATCGGCGAAAGTGCTGCGACAAATGCAGGCATCGAGCACTGCGGCTGCGACATGAACAAGCGCCGCAGCCATGGGCAAAAAAGCATAACGTTGAATGACGAATCACTTTGCTCGTCGCTGACTCTGTCTCAGGACCGTGCCTTTCGGTGCATGTGCTAGGCGCTGGTCATAGTCTTGCCTGCAATGGAAGGATTGTTCCCCGTTGCCACGCCCGCGGAGAACAACCAAACAAGCAAAACTAGCCTCTTTTGCGCATCGCTGAGCACGGAGAAGGCTTCGCCAACTTTCTTGAAAGCCTGTGCCAGCAGACAGGTCGCGACGTCGTTATTGAACAAACCTACTGTCATGCACCCCACTGGTCAGCACCCATTGACAAGGCATGGCCTCCTCGGCACCGGCCTCCTTGCATTTGTCCGGGTGGATCCGGAGGGCAAGCTTTCTGTATGCCTCAACACCGCCGCGCGAACAGGAAGGACCCCTGACTCGCAGCACACACGGAAACAATCGCGCCTTTCGGATCTCTTCGGCTGGGGCCTCCTTCTCGATGCCTGCTCGAAGTTTGTCAGGCCAGATTGGGACGGCAAGCAGCCACTAGGCTTTCCCGCAACACATCCACACCACTTGCCTAAAACCTCGTAGTAGTCATCCATGCAGCACGCCATGATCCGGATGTGGCTGCCACTTCTCCGTCAGGCTGCTGAGCTGCGAAAATTGTTTCTGCTGAAAGTGTTGGAGGTGAAGTCAAGGGAGTCTGACAGATCATGCTGGGGCAGTAAGGGTGCAGGCAGGCCCCAAGCCATGTTCAAGGCTTCTTAAGGAACGAAGGAACGGTTGCAAGCTGAGGCCATGGATGTGTCAATCAGTTCAGAGGCACCCTGCGAGTGCTCATGACGTTAACTTGGTGCGTCATGGCGTGGAGCCCTTTCGAGATGCTTGTGTAGCCTTCCGAGCCAGCGCCAAAGGAAACGGCCTTCGGCTTCAGCCAAACCAGAGACATGCTGTGGGATCTTCGGAGGCTAGGCATTCATAAGCATTCTAGATCCTGGCATGCGGCATGCGTACCGCATGCTTGCCGTGCAAAACCTGGGCCTGCAGCGAAACGAGCGTGACACACATGAACTGCGCAAATGGGTAACTCGGGCCTTGGACTGAAACATTCTGAGTCCGATGAGTGCTTCCCGAGCTGTACCGTGCAACGTGCAAACATGTCATGTATGCCGTGCAGCCTACCCTACGTTTGTTTCTTCTCTGTTGCTTGTGGTTGTTTTGTTGCCGTTGCTGTCCGTGGTTGGCTTCGCCCCCCGATGAAGTCTGCGTCCTGGCGTACGCCAAGCGTACACTGGCTGTGGGGTGGGTGGATTGATTTTCTGTGAGGTGGACTTTGCCTATTTTCGGCTGGTAGATCAGGCTGTGGATCAATGGTTGCTGATGGGGGGCAAGTGGGCTGGTTGTGATGGAAAATGTCGTGGAACAATGCTTTTGGGGTGCAGTTCTTAAAGGGCTGGTGAAGAAGGTGGCAAAATCTGTTGAGGTTTTGAGGGGAAAGCGGTGCGATTTTGGTGGGCGAGGGCTGTTGGTGTGCTCGTAGAAAAATGGGATGCTGAAAATTTGGACTCTTGGAGGCAAGTGGCTGGCTGGTTGAAAATGCGACAAAGAGGTCTGAAAGGTTGGGCAAAATGGTGGAAAATTGATGGTATGCTCGTTGAGAAAATATTTGGTGATTCGGGGGTGTGGGGGATGAAGTGGTATGCTGTTGGAGAAAGTAGTTGGGAAAATGAGTGGAAAATTGGATTTTGG